CTGACGTCAGCAGAGAAGCGGCTTATATTAGCATGGCTGAGGCTTGGCGCAGTGTAGCAGAGAAGGCGCAGCGCACGTTAGCAGCTGACGAAAGCAGCGGCAGATGGTTGAACAGTAGGGCTGACGTTGCGCTGAGGTCAGCAAGACGGGTTGAGATGCGCGCATAGGAGCACATGACAGATCAAACAAATGCCCTAGAGCATGTGCCAGTGCGTGTGCACATAGTGACGCCAAAAATGACGCGCCGAGGCTTCTAAAGGTGCGTGAGGACGCGTTAGAAGTGATTTCAGTGCCAGTTGGTGGTGACAGATTCATGGAGTGATAAGAAAGGTCTCTGTGCCAGTTATTTTGGGTTTTAGGCGGACAAAACTGGGAACAGAGACACACAAATATTTGAAGGAGAACGTGGTGTGCCAGAGGTGGTTTGGAACAGCGAAAAAATAAGGTGGAACGCCGGAGGCGGCTTAGAAAGAGAGCATTAGATCTAATACCATGTTATGATATTATAAAGAGAGAGGAATAAAGAGAAAAGAGAAAACTCTTGTGTTCAATTGATTAAATGGCACAATGTGTATAAATTTATATTCTTTATTTTTAATAAAACAAAATATTATTAATGTCTATGTTTGGAAAGTTGGGTTTGAGAATTTTTTAACTAAAATAGTCACAAAAAATAAAATAAATTTTTTAGTCCAATAAAACAAAATATCACATCTAATTCATAATCATTACATTTTTCTCTCACAAAAAAGTCAAAAAAATTAAAAATCTTTCTTAAACCAGGCTTTTTAACCCCAGACTAGCTAAAAAAACTAAAAGCCAACCCACTTCCCAAACGAAGTCTTACTAAGAAAAATTTGCAATAAAATTAGAAGATCAAACAATTATGCAAAATTACTAAAAGCAAATATTTCATTCTTTCATTTTCTCTCTTCTATGTCCCTAAAATCCTAACCAATGAGCAAATCCTCCTTCAGCCATCCTTCCTCTCCACAAGCGCCTCTCTCACCTTGTCACGACCCCAAACCGCCCCTAGTAGTTTAGTGCCGTGATGGCCAGTAATCCGTAATTACCGAAGACCAACTTTAAAAAACTTAACACAATCAGAGTATAATGAACGGGGCTCACAAATGCGGAAGCAATAAATCAAATACAAGTGGTCCATAAGAGCTGTGCGTAGATCAAATGCAATGTCATTCATCTTACAACTTGAATACAACCAAACAAAATACGTATTACATCTTGATCAAAAGGCTTCTTGAGCCGACATATACAAAATACAGAAATTACAAGCCAAGAAGCATGATTTTCAAGACTCGCCGACATAAATACAAAATAAAGCCGACATAAGCACGGATCCAAAACAAGCTTTCAAAACAGTCTAGGCATCGCCGACGTCCTGCTCATCACCTACATATATATATAGGGGGTGAG